AAAAAAAAAAAAAGACCTTTACATTGAAAACTACAGTACTCTAAAAAAGGAGATAGAAGAGGATAACAGAAAATGGAAAGATATCCCTTGCTCATGGATAGGAAGCAACAATATAATGAAAATGGCCATACTCCCAAAATTGTTGTACAGATTGTCTTAGTTACTTTTCTCTCTTTGCTGAGACAAAATACCCAACACCCAAAGTTAAGGGAAGAGAAGTTTATTTAGCTCACAGTTTGTAGAGGTTTGGTCCATCGGTGGGCTCCAAGGCAGGGTGGCATGGCAGAGGGGCATCGAAGAAGAGAAACAGTTCCTGGAGGCAGAGGACAGCAAAAGCAAGCCAGGGACGGGAGAGACAAGCCTCTTTCCATCCCTCATATTGTATCCAATCTACTGGGGTTAGGGCGGTACCAACCCAATCAGTGGGCTGATCCCACAATCACTCACTCTTAATCCTAGCACTGAATCATGAGTCAGTCACAAACTCTAGATTCAGCTACCTCCAAAAAAGCCCCATCTAAAAGTGCATGAGGTGTTGCGGGCGGAACATCTAGACACAAACCGTAACACAGACTGAACGCAACCTGATCAAAATACTGATAGCATAACACACAGAATTGAAGCAAACAATCCTAAAATTCGTTTGGAACTAGAGGAGACCTAGAATAGCAAAAATAGTTGTGGGTAACAAAGGCAGAGCAGGGGCATCACAGTCCCTGACTAATATACTACAAAGCTACTGTAATAGAAACAACATGGTACTGGCAAAAAAGCAGACCAGAGGATCAGTGGAACAGACTAGAAGACGCAGAAATAACTCAAACACACTCAGCCACCTTATTTGACAAAGGAGCTCAACACCTCACTGCAAGAAAGGTAGCCTCTTTAATAAATGGTGCTGATAAAAACTGGCTTTCCACATGCCAAAGATTAAAATTAGCCCGATATCTTTGTGCACAAAACTGAAATCAAAATAGATCATAGATCTAAATATTAAAACAGAAACACTAAATATGCTGGAAGATAAAATAGGTAGTAGAACTCTGGAAGACACTGGTGTAGGCAAAAACTTTATGAATAAAACCGCTGATCACACAGGAACTATTACAGAGAACAACTGGGATCTCATGTTATTAAAGCTTTTGCACAGCAAAAGAAATCATCTACAGAATGAAGAGACAACCCACAGTGTGGGAAAAAAATTGCCAGCTGTTCCTCAGATAAGGGACTAATATTTAATACATATAAATCTAGAATATATAAAGAATTACAGGCAGGGCGTGGTGGCACATGCCTGTAATCCTAGCACTCAGGAGACTGAGGCAGGAGGATTGATGCAAGTTTGAAACCAGTCTGGGCTACAAAGTGAGTTTAAGGCCAATCTGAACTGCATAGCGAGACCCTGTCTCAAACACACACACACACACACACACACACACACACACACACACACACACAGAATTACAAAAAACAGACCCTCCAGATTTAAACACTCAATCCAAAAATGGGCATCTGAAATGAATACACACTTCTCAGATGAAGAAATAGAAATGGCAAATAAATAGATGATAAAATGTTCAACATCACTGGTCATTCAAGAGATGCAAATTAAAACAATGCTGAGATTCCGTCTCACTCCAGAAAGAATGGCTGTTATCAAGAAATCAACCAATAACAAATGCTGGAGGGGCTGTGGGGAAAAGTAACCCATCTCCACTGTTGGTGGGAGTGTAGACTGGTGCAACCACTGTGGAAATCAGTGTAGAGATTCCTCAAAAAACTAAAATGAGAGGTTCCATTCAACCCAGCTATTCTGCTTTTAGTATTTTCCTGATAGAATTAAAAGCATCATACCACAGCTATATATGCTCACCCATATTTATAGTGGCACAGTTTACAACAGGTAATTCTTGGAAATAGCCCAAATGCCCATCAACTGATCAGTGGCTAAAGAAAGTGTGGGTTTTTCTAAAAATACAATGGAATACTACTCTGCCATAAAGAAGGATGCATTTGAGACATTTCTAGCTAAAGAGATGTACCTTGAGACCATACCCTTAAATGAAATAAATCGGACCCATGTTCAAATACCACATTGTTTCTCCGGTGTGAGGAACTGAAAGTATAAATAAAGACCAAAATATATAATAGAAATTGGAAAAGGGAAAGAAAAATGTTCAGATGAGAAAGGGAACAAGGAGAAGGAAGGAAAGAACAAGAATAAAGGAGAATAGAAGGAAAAATGGAAACAAAGCTTTTGAAAATAAGGAGGGGAAGAGGGGTTGAAGGGAGGGGAGGGGGATGGGAAAAAAAGAAGAAAGATATATCAGGTACAGGTACAAACTCCCCATGATGACTGTGATTATCATGCAGATCTAAAATGTACCAATACATTCTTTAAAGAGTCATCTCCTACCTGAAAGGTTCCTAAGAGTGACAAGGCCTCCAATAAAATAAAATGTGTCTGGTAGCGCGCGCGCGCGCGCGCGCGCACACACACACACACACACACACACACACACACACACACACACACACACACCCTTCCCTGGGGTAGCCCCACTCTAGCAATTCAATTCAACAACCCTGCGCTGGGCTTGGGGTATCTGGCACTGTATGGGCTCCAGATGGTCAACGCACCGTTTTGCTCCTGAGGAAAAGAAAAGTGGACACCAGTCCGAGCAAAATAGAAGGGGGCAGATAAGAGGGGCACAACCCCGAGGCTGGGGTTCGGAGGCAGAGGGATTAAAGGCCGTTCAGGGAGGTTTCCACGGTCCTGCAGAGAACCCGAAAGACAATCGTGATTCTGCAGAATGGGATGAGAAGAGCCAGAGGGGACCGCTCAAACCGAAGCACACAGGCTGGAAAATCCAACCTGTCTAACAAGCCGGATGTGCATACAGCAGGGCGAAGCAGAAGCCGCACAGGCCAGCAGGGGCATTGGTCAGCTGTGGGAACCACGCAGGGCCTGGAGTTGAGTGAGAATCCAGGGAGAATTGGGTATTGGTTTGTTCTGGAGACACTGTTTCGCTACGCAGTTCAGGCTGACCTTGAATTCGCTTTGTAGCCCAGGTGGGTCTTGAACTCACAGTGATCCTCTTGCCTCAGCCTCCTGAGTGCTGGGATTACAGGCATGCGCCACGACGCCCGGCCCTGAGGAGACTTGGTTTTAATCCTAGCGCTTCACCAGCTCTGTAACTTTGGGCAGGTAACTTCCCTTCTCTGAGCCTCAGTTTCCCCATCTCAGAAAGACCAGGTTGGCTGTGATGACCCACCTAGCTACAGTGTTTCGTGATTTGCCAGGCGCCAGCGGCAGAGGCGGGAACGTGGGTTCTGGCTCAGGCAAGGGAAGAGCGCCGCTGAGAACGAGGTCCGAACCACGGGGCTCAGGGAAGGCCCGGGAGAGGCTACCAGGTGCTGACAGCGGGCGAGGATTCTGCCCAGCCCGGACACCGAGTGCTGGCTGGTGCCAGCCCCGGCCGCCCAAGTCTCTGCAGCCACTCCCTGCAGAAGTCCCGGGCCTGCGCTGGCGAGGGGTTCCCCCCCGTCGGCCGCTTCTGAGGGCGGGTATTGGAGCTCCGGGAGCTGCCCAAGGGTGTCCTCCAGGGCAGGCCCTGCTTTGGGGTCCCCTCTATATTGGGCAGTACCCCGGGTCTGAAAAGTACGGATTGGAGGGTCACCCTGGGGGCAGATCCAGCCAGGTCCTCGCAGCTCCTTGAGGGGTCCCCCGGAGTTCTGGGAGCCCAGGGTTTCAGGGTGGGATCCCCGGGCCGCAGTCTCGGTTTCCTTCCCCACGTGGTTTCTGGAATTGAAAGAAGACGACACTCTGCCGGGCCCCCCATCACCCCCTCGGTTCTGGTTCCTTCTTCCCTCCAGGATGTTTCGGCAGAGGCAGGAGAGGAGGAATTCACCCCGGGTCCTTTGTCAGGAAGGGGCTCCTGGGGAGATGGGGCCCGCGCTGGG